CTATTCCATACTGAGCGTATTGTTATAAATATGAAAGTAACTCTGTCCTTTTTATGCTTCGATTATCATTATTCATATCAAATCGATAAAAATCGATTATCAATATCGAAAAAATTTCGTAAGGAGATTGCATCCTGGGATCGGATATAGGCTACCCTTGAATCCCGCCCAGCCCCACTCAAAAACATTTAAAGAGATAAACTACATAATTACTTTGCATAATTACAGATGCGCAGGAGATATTATAGTGCACAAGTGAACGCGTAGACACAACGTGCACTCTCTATTTCTGTCACTCTCATACTCCGGTGGGACGACCACTCGACACGACCAGTGAGAGTTAAGGCGCAGGACCAACGGCTTTACGTGCTCTCCGAGGCACGGGGGTGAAACACCGCCAACTTCCCAACTCCGGGCTGTTACTAAGGCTTACTAAACAGAAAGACTCAATAACTAAACCTGGCCCGACCCCGGACTCGAACCCAGTACCTCCGGATGTGCAGCCGTACATGCTAGCCGCTACACAACCGCGGCATTCAATAAAATACATACAATATAATATAAATATAAACAAACATGACTGGAGTATAAGTATTCGTGCTCATCAGACAATTGAATGCCCCCAGCGGGACTCGAACCCGCGACCGCTAGCACAGCAAGTAGAGTCACTACAAACTGAACCAAACATGTTGTCAAAATCAAATTGTATGTAAAAAAACAAATAAAAGACTTATCAACAAGCAAAAATATTATTTTTTGTTTTTCTGAACAATCGTATAGTTAAGAGCCAAAAGAAAAAGCTCAAGACGTATTGCGATGACGTAACGACTTTAAAAGCTTAATTTAACTTATTCCTAGTAATCTGAAACCTAGTTATTTACTTATTCTAGATTTAAGAATAGATAGTATATAGGGCAGTGGAATTTAAATCCTGTTTAGTTTACTTTCATTAAACCAACTTGCTAAATTGTTTACGATTAGTTGTCGCGGCAGTGTTGTTTCCAGCTATGTTGTATTTCATACATTTTTGCTATTAGTCATAAATGTTATTTATAGCCTTCTAGCAGAACCCACGGCTTCGCTAGCGCTAAAACTACAAAAAAAAACTCTAAAAAAAGGTAGTTTCATAGAAACTTTCACCCCCTATTTTACCCTCTTATGGGACGAATTTCAAAAAATGCTAAAACACGTATTTATTTAATTTTATTGAAGAGCATTAATACCAAGTTTCAAATAATTCTGATCATAAATTTTTTTTTGAATTGTATTATAACGTGTTTTCCCGCGATAAAAAGTAGCCTATGTTACTCTCCAGCCCTCCAACTGCACTCGCTTGGAAAATCGAATGAAGGGTGTTCGATCATTTCCAACATGATTACCACTTGTCTTACGGTGAAGGAAAACATCGTGAGAAAACCTAGGAAGTTTTCGAAAGATATGTGTAGTCCGTCAACCCGCACTTGATAAGTGTGGTGGACTATAGCCTGATCCCCCTTGTAGTAAGGGAGGTCCGTGCCCAGCAGTGCGACGTTAAAAAAGGACTGAATACATAAACAATAATTATATCAGATATCCAAAAATTTTATACAAAACTATTTGTGATAAAAGTAATAAATAAAGAAATTAACATTTAAAGTATTCATTAAATTGCAATCACGATAAAAATTCAAAGTCTCTCGATACAGTTATTCTGTGTAGGCGTAATAAAGTGCTTATTGATGTAGGAACGAGTTCGATTCCCGGTTCGTGTACCGGCATGGTGAATCAGGAACATTATTTAAGTCGTAAATATGGCCTATGAATGGCTACCACTGTAATAACAAAACTCTTGTTGATTTATTGTCACGATACGTTTGAATGAAGCTTTAATAACGTAAGTTTTTACTATAATAAAAAATACTAGACCGTGTACAGAGATCGCAAGATTTCCAATGTATTCAGCCCAAGTATTAATATTGTATTCAGCCCTTTTTTTAACGTCCCACTTTTGGGCACGGGCCTCACATCAATATGAGGGGGATCAGGCTATAGTCCACCACGCTCGCCAAGTGCGGATTGGCGGATTTTACATGTCTCGAAAACTTGCTAGGTTCCCTAAGAGGCGCAAGTTTCCCCACGATGTTTTCCTTTACCGTAAGATAAGTGATGATCATGTTGGGAATAATTCTTACATGATAATATCACAGGTGTGAGACCCGGAATTTGAACCCGCTTCACTCGGTTTCCCAAGAGAGCGCGTTACCACTGGGCTACCACTGATATGGTTTCGTGAGAGAAAATTCCCTTGTGATAGAATACGTAGCTATATTCACGGTATGAACTTGGTCCATTCTTTTTAGTTTGCTTTTTACGCAGCCGAGTTATTTATTTTTAAGATTTCATTTATTACACCATAGTGCTAAAATTTTGCTTATTAATTTTATTTTCAACCGACTTCAAAAAGGAGGAGGTTCTCAATTCGACTGCATGTTTTTTTTTTTTTTTTATGTTTGTTACCTCAGAACTCCGTCATTTATTAACCGATTTGGACAATTTTTGTTTTGTTTGAAAGGGTATACTTCCAGATTGGTCCCATTTAAATTTCAAAAAAAAATACCACCTCTAAGGGTGGAAAAACAACGAATGATGCATTTAACCTACTTCTAATTGTCATATTGACTTGAAACTTTGCAAGTATTTCTATTTCCGTTGATAGTACAGTGGTTCAGTGTTGTTGACCTGATCTGATGGCAAGGCCAGAAGGTGGTTAGGTGGAACTCTTCAACGGCTAATAGTAGATACTTTGAGTTTGGGCTTATTTTGTTTGATATGACAAGCCTAACACGTTAGAATCCTTACTTTGCTACTACTGTCTACACTAAAAAGGGAAAAATAAAAACTTTTTAACAAAAAAATAAAAACCGACTTCAAACAAAAGCACTAAAAAGTAAAAAATAACTGATTGGTAGTTTTCATTTACTATACATACCTAATCAAATATTTTCGAAGTCGGTGTGCTTTGGCTAAGTAATTAAAGCCTACCTATTAAATACATACCTAATCAAATATTTTCGAAATCGGTGCCAGCCCATACAAAGCAAAGCACACCGACTTCGAAAATATTTGATTAGGCATGTATAGTAAATGAAAACTACCAATCAGTTATTTTTTACTTTTTAGTGCTTTTGTTTGAAGTCGGTTTTTATTTTTTTGTTAAAAAGTTTTTATGTTATATGATTTTAGTGAAGACTAGCTACGTTTAACGGTTAGTATAGATTTCTCAGAGATGAGATATTTTCCCGCAGTAAGAAGTATCCTATATGTTGACCCGAATAATCAGCTATCATCATACCTCATTAAAACCTGTCCAGTAGTTTTCTCGTGATGCGTTCCCAGATAGACAGACAGACAGACCTTTGTATCAATAATAATGACTATTTCAATAAGATTTTCCAAATAATATTTCATGTATAGATTCGACTTAGTAAGAATTTTATTATATGTATAGATGTACTTTAGAAATTTTTGTTTTCATTTTGACCCTGTGTGAGTTAAATCCTTTGTTAGGCTACTAACTGCTATCGATTATTTTGCTCTTAACTAATAAATTTTAGAACTATGTTTCAAGCTGTGCGGTAGAAGACAAATGAGAAAGTTGGTATTAAAAGTAAGTGGTTATACAATTTAAAATTTAGAAATTCTATTATTATTTAGCTTGAATTTCATTTTTGATGAAAGACATAGAAGGCAGTAAAAACAGATTTTTGATAGAAATCTCATCTATACTGTGAAAGTATAAACAAATATTATAAATCAATTCTTTATGCCTACTGTCAACTTTCTACTTTCATCAACTGTATCTATATAATACAGCAATAAATTTGTGTTAGTTGGCAGACAGGGCAGCCATTTTATTAGATTTTCATAACAATAACTTATTAATTTTATTACTAACACAGTTTTAATTTAACGTTTCAAGTTTGAGATAAAGAAACAACATACTTTAACTTATCATGACATTGAGAAACATAAAGGCTCGTAACTTGACTTTTTATCGTAATCCCTTAATCTATATCCGTAGGATAGCTTTATAACCATGATATTACATGTATGGTTTATCAATAGTGTTAGCGCCAAGTATACTTCTTATCCCTATCCCGCCCTACGTGGAGTCGGCATAAGATATTTGCTTCTTCCGCTACCCCTCTATCAGCCGTCATCTCAGCACTCACGTATACTTTTTGACATTAAAAAATATAATCCTTTCATAATAAATACGTCAAGAGATATAACTGATATACTGGTAAATCCATACTAATATAATAAATGAGAAAGTGTGTTTGTTTGTTTGTTTGTTTGTTTGTTTGTTTGTTTTTTTGTTTGTCCTTCTTTCACGTACGAAACGGAGAGACGGATTGACATGATTTTTTGTGTGAAGATAGTTGGAGGGCTGGAAAGTGTCATAGGCTACTTTTTACCGCGGGAGATTATCTCATTCCCACGGGAAAACACGTTATAATACAATCCAAAAAGGAAAATCTGATCAGAATTACTTGAAACTTGGCATTAATGCTCTTCAATACAATTAAATGTATAACTACCTTTTTAGATAGTTTTAGCGCGAGCGAAGCGGCGGGTTCTGCTAGTTAATCATAAATCCGCGCTCTATATCAGTACTTCACAAACGTTAGAAATATTATTAGATGGTATTTAGCCGATGCCAAAAACAAGTCGTGACCCACATGTAAACGAGATATATAGAAATCCGATGTGCTTGTCAATTAGTCAGTCAGTCAGTTTGTGTTTAAATTTTAATTTTGTGTAAAGTTTTTCTTATTCCTCACGTTTCGTAGATTAGCCAGAACAAACAGACAGACAAACATACAAAAATTAATAAAAAAACACGCTTCTCATAAGTGCCGTATATACTTTTATATGTATTTAGTAAAAAGCTGTTATTTTGACATTACAAACAGACACTTCATTTGTATTAATTTGTGTGAAAGGTATTTAATACTTACCTAGTAAACTTAAGCTAGCAATCCAACTGGCTTGTTGGTCACTGACAGTGAAGGACGCGTTGTGTAACCTTGCCTCCTGCATGGACGCGATTGCTGGAGACATGTAGCCCTTGCTTAGACCAGCGGCAAAAGGGCCCAGGGAGACAGCCAGGGCTGCCAGAATCTAAAAGAAGATGAATAAGAGGATGAGGGATATGATAGAAGACGAAGGCGAAAAAAGATCGGAATACTTACATATATAGATATTGGATATGGAAGTTTGTATGTGTGTTTGTTTCTCTTTCGTGCTCAAATGGCTGGACGGATTTAGACGAATTTTAGTATGCGGATAGAGTATGACCTGAAGTCACACCAAGGCTATCCGGCACCCAGAGCCGTTTTTTAGTGAAGCCACGGTAAGTCTTGAGGAAAAAATTAACATTATAAATAATTATTGGTTTTTCAAGCGATTCAGCTCGCTTTGTAGGTATATTGCTAAATAGTACTGTGTCTAAGGAAGTATAAGTATTTTCATTTAAACATTGTAAATTAAAACATGAACAATTAACAAACTCACTCAACAATAATATTATACCCATTAATAAATAATATTATCACTTAATAATAATATTATACAGAGATAAAGTTAGTAAGTTTGTATGTAGGTGGTAATCTCTGAAACTACTGTTCCAACACCTTGGGTCACCTTGATAGTTCTTTTGGATATCTTTTTAAATTTTCCGACTAATTTTTTTTTATATATAACTTTGATTTGTCTTATAAATAAATTATTTTCTATCGGATCCGCTAATATTATTTTAAATATAATATAAATAACATATAGATATACAGGATATGCACTCCTCCTTTTAAAGTCGGTTAAATTCAGGTGCCTCAGCTATACATGACGTCTCGTATGTTATATAACCCATAGTGATGTAACAGGGTATGTATTCCTAGTTCTGAGCGAGGAATCGATCAATGTTTCAAGCGCCATGTAAGTGCGATAATGGAGTTTAGTGTTGGGATATCCCGTTATCGATAAAATCGACTTATCCTCAATTACTATCCGTGACATAAGCGAATAACTTCATAATCTTAAACTACCGTTAAATAGCTATCGATGCTAGTTATTTAAAGTGCGTACGTGAATTAATTATTTTTATACATACCCACATTTACTTCGTGACTTAAATTGTATTTCAATATAAGCATGAAAAGTGTATTGAATCATAAAATCTATGGTAAGAATTTCTCCAAAAATTGTATGAACATTAACATTGTTTTTGTATGAATTACTCGATTTTTTTAGCAATTATAAATCGATTTTCATGAATAATAAAAAAAAACAGAAAATACTAAATGTAATGTCCTATAAAATTAAGAAAAAATCCACCACTGGGGGATATTTAGTTTGAAGTCAGTATACTTACATCTTTGTTGACAAATTTTGTATAAAAAAATCTGTAGGTAGTTCATTTTCTATCAATCAATCAATGTATTCTTAAATATGTCCAACTATTTGAAAATTATGTTATTAACTAACTCATAAACGAGATTCAAATAACAGTAATTTAACACAAATATGCATAAAATAAAATTGCAAGATCGGTTAAAAAGAACGATATTGGATAACTTATATTATTGCGGTTTCCGCTCAAATATCGTGCTTGATATTTTGACATGCTAATATAACAACGCTAACGAGGTATAATCTCGTATGTCATTTAATTATATTATTGGTAGTGTATTATGATTATAGAAGTTTATAATTTTTGTATTCTCTCACTTCTAATATTCTCACGTGCGAATCAACTTCAACACTACTACCTTTTGCCTTACGGAGAAGGAAAAAAACAATGGCTTAATCTATATATGTATATAAAAATGAATCCCTATTTCCCTTGGTTACGCCATCACGCGTGATCGGATGGACCGATTCAACTAATTTTTTTTGTTGTGTTTGTTATTGTCAGGAGAAGGTTCTTATGAAAGAAAAAAATTAAAAAATTGCGCGGAAAATTATAAAATTTAAGAATACTTAACAACCATATTAAAATTTATATGGCTAACGCTGGGTAATAACTATTTATATATATTTAAAACGTACCTAGCGACGAACCCGGGCGAAGCGAGTGTGAGCCGCTAGTCCCGCTAGTGATGGAAAGCGCATGCCCAGCAGTGGGACGTTAAAAAGGACTGAATGGCGAATGCATAAACGAATCATGCTAACAATTTTTTTAAACAAAATCTAATACATCTTCATTCAATCCCGTCTCGTTGATCAATCCCGGAAGAGTTACATCACTAATCACTTTATCTCGGCGCTTTTGAAGGATCAATGACCGACACAGTGCCTCACATTGAAATACTATATACATTTGTATATTTGTTTACGAAAATAGACTTTATGTCAACGGAATAAGATTTATATTAAGTGGAATATAATTTTGTCAAAATGATATATAGTTTCATAATTTATTGCCATAGAAAAAGAAACGGAAATGGCAGTTTGAAAAAATATTTTTAGGCATACAAGTAAATATTGTATAAACTTTTAAACATATTTGACTAAAATGTGGTTGTCTAACACTTTCGGGGTCGCAGAATCGGTTCCAGGTTGAATAAAAGTAAAAAAAAAAACAATTAATATAATATCAGCATATTATCTATCTGTTAACAGTAAAAGATTGTCGCTTCAAACGTATAAGGCAAAGATTTTTAACGAATATTAATTATATAATTTCTTACTTTGTTAGAAAGTTTTGTAATAATTAGAAAGGCCTATAATTCCATTGAAAAACGTTTAATTTTTTTATGTACCTACTTACTACCTTATTTAATACTCACGATGCCTTCCTTCACCGTAAGGTAACTGGTAATCATGTTTTAGGACTCGCACATGAAAATATGTGCAAGACTCAGTTTCGAATCCGTTAACACTGTGTTTTCCAAGCGAGCGCATTACCACTGTGCTACTACTGTCTACTGCCTTTTATACGCCTTATGACACTTCTAATTTATTTTAATCTTACGAACGTAACAGATCAAAACGTGAGCTTAATTACGGGAATATTAAATGATGCTACCGCTATGCATTAAACTTTAGTTTATTTAGTCAATTTGATTAATATGTTTTTACTCAATGCTATAATTCTCAATATTTACTTAGAAATATATACATATACTAGCGACTTACCCTCGCTTTGCTCGGGTTCGTCCCTTGGTTGATTCCCCGTACAAACATTCATCCCCACTTTCACCCCGGTACGGGGTGATTTCTAGGATAAAAAGTATCCTATGTCCTTTCCAGGGTCTCAAACTATCTACTTACCAAATTTCATGTAAGTCGATTCAGTAGATTCAGAGAATACCCCCTACAACGTCACAAACTCACAATTCACAAACTTTAGCTCTTTATATTATTAGTATAGATAAATAACACAATGTTCAAGTAAAGTGAACATTTTATTATATACTAGCGTCTCACCCTCGCTTCACTCTGGTTCGTTGATTCCCCATACAAACTTTGATTCCCTTTTCACCCCCTTAAGGGATGGAAGGGATTTCCGAGGTACAAACGACCGAAACGACTCGAAAGTTTTCAAAAAAAAAAATAGTAAAATCATTGAATAATTTAGAAAATTAAGAATGTATCCAAAAAACACCCTAAAAGGCAAAAAATATAACCGAACTATCATGAAATTAAAAAAAATGCCAAACCGCTTCAGTCGTTTTCAAGTGATGCGCTAACGAACGAAAAGATTTTATTATAATCTACATATTTACATTTATTCTAAACGTGATTATTCTTAATGAGTCATTAAATACAGTACTCACTTTGTTTACAAACAACTCGGTGAATGGGTTTCTTCTAATGAATGTTATGGAAAACCTATCAAAAGCAATCTTTTGAAATCGTATACATTTAACTCATTCACTTAATACAAGATGGTCTGTTACAGTTCTGCTTCATTTTCAAGTGAGATAGTTTTTAGTTCTTTCTTCATTCTTGGTATTTATAATGTATGTATGTATGTATTCAGCCCTTTTTAACGTCCCACTGCTGAGCACGGGCCTCCCTTCAATATGAGGGGGATCAAGCCATAGTCCACCACGCTGGCCGAGTGCGGGTTGGCGAACTTCACATGTCTTTCGAAAACTTGCTAGGTTCTCTCAGACATACTGCCTGTATTTATAATATACCACACTAATATTCATGTAAAAGTTTGTGAGTTTGTGTGTTTATTTCATATTCGTTCTGAGCTGCTAAATAGATTTATCGAAGTGCTTTAAATATATGCTGTTTTAGCGCCAGGTATAAGTCGTAAAGCAGTGGTAGTGACAACGCGCTCGTTTGAGAAACCAAGTGACGCGGATTCAAATCCCGGGTCTCGTATCTTTGATATTTTCATGTGCAAATCATATTTAACATAATTACCACTTGTCCAAGGTGAAGTAAAACCTAGCAAGTTTTCGAAAGACATGTGAAGTCCGCCTGCACTTGGCCAGCGTGGTGGACTATGGCCTGATCCGCTCGTATTAAAGGGAAGCCCATACCTACCAGTGGAACGTTTTAAAAGGGCTGAGTGCAATTGAATACAATAAGTGCTAAGTAAGCGGAACCAAGGGTCAGAATTAATAATTAGTATAGATAAATATAATAGAAGAAACTGATTTAAACACTAGCATCACTAAATAACTTTGCTCGCATTAGATGTAAAGCCCTTTTATTTTATCGGAATAATTTACAGCTTAAGACCATCTTCATCCTAAACATTCTTTCAAAATATTGGCGAAAGAATTTTCGAAATCAAATGAATGGTTTCGGAGATTACCTCTCACATCCAATCTCATAGAATTAAAAGTTAACCTTTTTATAATATTATTTCATACGTTTGATGGTTCAAAGTTTGATACTTCAAAAGCTATATCAACATTTTAAGAATTTTTCTTTTATATACCTATCAATATATATATATATATATATATATATATATATATATATATATATATAACTAAAGTGTTTTTATGATGGAATAGACAGTCGATCCCTTGCTCTGTTAAAAATAAAAACAAATCTATCTAAATATCCCATTGGAACCGTACATTTTTCCGGGAAAAAAATAACCTATGTGCCATTCCAGACTATAATGAATATATTTATAATAATATATACTGAAAACCTTTTGGGAATATACTATTTACATCATAATAACGACATCTGTAAGGAAAAAGATATTTATTAAATATTACAAATAAAAAAATATTTTTATTGCACCTTCTAAGCCGTAATAGCCCAGCATTAGCAAAAGAAAACGCGTAGCCGGTGGAGGGGTAGAGGTGGAGGGGTGTAGGAAGCGGCACTTACTCATTTGAACTTGACCAGATGCTAGGACTATTACCACGGTAATGTAATGCATATATTACCGTGCTATTACCGTTTAGAAGGTGCAATAAAATATTTTTATTTTTACACGAAAATAAAAATTTAAGAATTTTTTTTCTTACAGATGTTATTGTTATGATATAAATAGTGTATTCCCAGAAGGTCTTCAGTAAATTAAAAATGACCCTGTATAATATATTAATGGGAAGAACTTACTTGACGCCTATAGCCCTGCTTCCCATCTTCTCCTCTCATCATCATGATTCTAGTCTCCGGCGTAATATTCGTCATCTTCAAGCGCGCCTTTTCACTCATATACACTGATTTTGATGGACTTGACGAAAATACACTACACTTATCACAGTTAACCAAGTTAGGTCATGTTAGCGTTCGATTATCTGAAACAAATCAAAAATTATAATTAGTATTTATTTAAAAGTACTAAAATTTAGAATTGACTATTATTAAATTTACCATTACAGGCAGTGGAAGCCCAGTGGTAACGCGCTCGATTGGAAAACTGTGTGAAGCGGGTTCAAATCCCAACGCGCTCATCCCAAGAACCGATTTGAAAAATTCTTTTTGCATTAGATAGTCCGTTTATTGAGGAAGGTTATGGGCTATATATCAACATGCTACTACCCAAGGGAGCGGAGCAGTAATCATAAAAGTCAACAAATCGGGCAGATTTCCATACATTAGTGTAAAACTGATGTTTTTAATAATAAGTTTAAGTGCTTTAAGCTCAGAAACTTTGGTCCAATACTCATCGTGTAGAGGAGAGGTATATGAAACAAAGTCGCTTTCTGTCCCTATGTCCCTATATCCCTATGTATGCTTAAATCTTTAAAACTACGCATCGTATTTTGATGCGGTTTTTTTAATAGATAGAGTGATTCAAGAGGAAGGTTTTAGTATATAATTTGTTAAGTTTTTGTATATAGCTAAAATATAACGATATTTGTTGGTGGTGTCGGAAAAAATAAGACGTCTGGGAGCTTTCAATGAAAACGCTGCATAAACCCTTTGAGATATAACAAAGTAAAGTATGGTGGAATTGTGTATCTTATATAGGTCTACAGAAAAGTCCGCGATGGCATATGTCTATCTCTTAAGGATAACACACTATATCCATTTTAATTTAAAACGTACCTAGGGACGAACCCGAACGAAGCGAGGATGAGTCGCTAGTGTATGTATAATCAAATTTAACGCGGGTGAAACTGCGTGGCACAGCCAGTATATTATAAATATATTGTTTTTTATTATAACAATGGGTCAATATGTTAAGATGTCACATAAAATCGATAATATAAACCAAATAGTAAATCATATTACTGTACAAGCTACTATTTTCAATTCAATTCATTTGTTCTGTGGCTCCTAAGAGTTGGTACTATTTTATTTTATACCGATATAAGCACAGTATAGATATAAAAAAATATTATGAAATACCATTTTGACGACACGTTTGGCTCAGTTTGTAGTGACCCTACTTGCTGTGCCAGCGGTCGCGGGTTCAAGTCCCGCTGAGAGCATTCATTTGTGATGAGCACGAATGTTTGTACTCCAGTCTTGGGTGTTTACATTTATAATATGTATGTATTTAAAGTTATATATGTGTAGTGTATCTACTATCTGGTATCCATAACACAAGCCTCGTAGCTTACCATGGAACTAGATGGTGCTGTGTGTTAATGTCCCGACATATTTATTTATTTATTATGAGTATTCTATGCTAAAACCATTTATTTATTAGCATACGAAACAAATAAAAAAAAATTATCAAATTTTAATTTAAGCGTATATCTACGCGCAAAACCGAGCTCGTCACTAGTACATATGTCTTAATATACAAGTTAAGTACTATACAAGTGTATAATGCATACTGATAATTAAAATAAAACCTTGTGTAAGATATCAATAAAATCTTAAAGTTAAATGTATATTAAAAAACTAACCTGTCAAAATCTTCAAAAAAAAAACGAAACCAAATCACTAGCACTTAATAATAAATAGACGATAACAAGCAATATTTGAACACTAGAATATTCTAACTGAATTGAAAAAAATATAATATATTAATTTAAAACCTATCTATCGGACTGTCCGCACAAAAATGACGAGTGTAGCTGAGATAGCTACAACATCTACTAATAACCATGAAACAATGAACGGACAGACAAAAGCATACGCAAGCGATGTCGTCATTACATTGCTGTCAAAATAGACTACAAAAAAATACGGTTGTTATGATTTAATAAATTACAACCTCATGTCACTAGATTTGCTTGTACTTTATTTTGAATTACTATAGATTTTATGTTTTTTTTTTGTTGAAAAATATTTTTTTTTACAAGAAATGTATGGAGATTTTAAAAGTTATTATTGTAACGTGAAGAAATCTTTCCTTGAAATATACGAGAATTTCATTGAGATATATTTAAATTCTATCGTTTATATTATGTTTATAAAATATCTACTACTATTTAAATTTACATAGCTGTTTTATTTATGAACCGATTGATGTAAATTAAAAAACAAATATTAAATGTTAAATGAAGTTTATCACAATACATTAGCGAAAACCGCATCCAATTCGGTTAAGACGTTTCTGAGATTAGCGCGCACAAACACACAGATAAACAAAAAAACAGACAAAAAATCTAAAACTCATTGTTCTGGGTTTTATTGCGTTAATAAAGACCCCCAATAATAGTTTTTCTCAAATATCTTCCATGTACAGACAGCGATCAGTTACAATTTTATTATATGTATAGATAAGTAGGCAAAGACAACAACAATTCGGTACCTTTATTATATATTATCCTCTGTTTGTCAACCGATTTTTTTTTGTTTAGTACATTCAAGAGCTTTAGTGGTATAAATAAAAAAAAATTATTATGGTCGAATTTCGAACACTGGGCGTACACAGGTATAAGTAAATACAAAGTAATATTAAAAAACCAAGCAAATGTTAAAAATTTATATTTTTATATTGAAACAATACAGTTTTTTTTGTTTATTTATGTGATGCGCGCATACAAACAGATATACAACAATTTTAACTATTTTTGTAACTTCTTTGCTAATGCAAATATGCCGCCAAATTCTATTTTTTCAGATAAAAGTTTTATTAAAGACTTTCTATAAACAAAAGCATCATCAACAAATTAATTAAGTTAGATAAACAAACCGGTGGAAAGACATTAACATCAATTTGGTTTAAATTAAAGCACAACGTGAAAAACAAATATCATTAGAAGCTTTATATAATACTAGCAGAACCAGCGGCTATACTCGCGTTAAAATTACAAAAAAAAAGTCTAAAATAGTAGATTTCATACAAAATTTTATCCGTTATTTTACCCCCTTATGAGATGAATTTCGAAAAATACTAAAACATGTATTTAATTTATTGTATTGAAGAGCATTTATGACAAGTTTCAAGTTTTTTTTTAGATTGTATTATAACGTGTTTTCCCGAGGGATAGAGATAATCTCCCGCGCTAGAAAGCCTATGTCACTCTCCAGCCCTCCAACTATCTCCACACAAAAAATCACGCCAATCCACCAAGCCGTTTCGACGTGAAAGAAAGACAAACAAACTAACAAACACACTTTCACATTTATAATATTAGTATGGACTACTGTAGATTATACTTATGTTATAAAGTTGAAGATATTGTTTTCATTTTGTTTGTATGCATTAATCTCTCAAAATCAGTTAGATTTGGAAAATCCTTACTGAGGAAACCTCGCGCTCAGGATCATCAATCGCATCGCAATTAATCTTATATATAAAATTTCCATGTCACAATGTTTGTTACCTTACTCCTCCGAAACGGCTTTACCGATTTTTACCAAATTTTATATACGTATTCAGTAGGTCTGAGAATCGGCTACTATCTATTTTTCATACCCCTAAGTGATAAGGGTGGTCCTCCCAGACCCCACCCCAGCTTACGCTAGTAAGGAATAAATATGTAAACTAACATAAAGGAACAGAATCGTAAATATCGGATTTTAAAAGAACTTATTTAAAAACTGCATTTAAACGGTTTGTATTCAGCTAGTTTAGATATTGGAGATTACGGAGTTACATAATATGTATATTGCTAAAATAATTTTCCCATAGGAAATTGTAGAATGGATGTAAGTTGGCAAAAATTAATATAAAATACTAAAAAGCAGTTATTTAAAAAAAACATTAAAAACTTATGTCTAAACCTAACAAAAAAAATTTTTTTTCATTTGAAACAATCAAATAAAAGCCCCGAACATAGTTTTGTTAAAAATGTCAAAATTTTTTGTACACCTAAGTAAATATTATTTTTTTACTATCTACATCCACAGTCTATATAAAAAAAACATAGACTTGTAGACAAAATTTAAAAAAAAAAAAAACAATTTTGTTTATTTTGCCCATCCATTCTCACGATATTTTTAAAGCGTGTTTTGAGACACGTTCGCAGAAACTAATTAGGATGGCGTTATCTTCTTGGGCATGTTTGAAAGGAGATTACTTTTTAATGACCCACTGTAAGATATAAAAATTAAACGATAGTTATTTATTTGTCAGATTTAGAACTTAATATTAAAAAAAATCTATACATATAATAAAATTAAAACTAAGCCGAATCTGTACATTAGATATTTTTTGGAAAATCTTATTGAAATAAACATTATTATCGATACAGAGGCCGAATCTATAGTTTTTAGAATTTCTGTCTGTCTGTCTGTCTGTTACCGCATCACAGAAAAACCACTGGAAGGATTTTGACGAAATTTGGTATAGTGATAGCTGGTTATCCGGGTCAACATATAGGATACTCTTTTCGAAAATGTCTCATTTTTGAGAAAAAATGCAAAAACTGCAATGTAAGAGTATACTAATATGTAAAACTTAAGAATTTGGTTTTTGATCATCTGAACGCGGGCGAAGCCGCGGGCAATACTAGTATATAATAAAATTATTTGAAAATTCAGATTGAAAAAAATTACAATACAATAATTATAATTTAAATATTTAACAGCTCAACATATATATTTTTTAAATATTAATAACAAATATAAAAACCGAGCTTAAAATGCTTATTAAAAAGATGAGAACAAGTAGACATATAAGCATAGCATTATAACATAGCATCGTGCAGTCGGAGACATAAATAATAAATATACAATAAATAGCAAGATTCGTGGGGAGTATAAAATCGGGTCTTGAAGTCGTAGATGTTATTGTGTTGTATTCAACCTTTTTTAACGTCCCACTGGCATAGAGAGAACAAGCCATAGTCCACCACGCTGGCCAAATG